GGACAAAAATTGTAGGTGATAGTGGTCAAGACTACATTCATTTACAGTATGTTTGTCAAGTGGTGTGCTAACATAGATTAAAAGCCAACAAGTGTGTTGAGGCACAGACTACATACAGTAGGAGGAAATACCCCCAAAGCTATACTATAGAGAGGGTGGGCATACTGTGCGTGTTTTTGTTTCATATTCCAATTTTCCACACGTGTCTTACTGGAATGGCCATGGTACTTTGAGGTATTAACCGGAGCAATGCTTATTTTAGATATACAGTACCATCACAATAGGATTACAACAAAGCATTACTATCTAATTTCATGTTTTATTAATGCTAATGTTAGTATTGCTTCATTTCTTGTCTGTTTGTGTAGTGTGATTTTGTCTTTTTTAATTAGGGTAGTAAAGTTTTTGAAATGTTTTAGCTTTTATGTGTATTTTACTTCAGGGTTTCTTTCAGTTTTTTCTTAACTTTGTGTGAAGTACTTCAAATCCCATTTTACTTGAGCAGTGCTGAGTTAATACACATTTATTATTATTGTTTGTAACTCCCCAATGTTAATACTGTATGGCCTTTCAGTTTGTATTAATATACAGAATGTATAATTGAAAAAAGAGATTGGAAGTGATTGGTTACATTTGACTTTTATGAGGTATCTGTTAATCTTTTTAAATTCAAAGTGAAAACTCTTTGGATATAGTATCAGCTCAGGGTTGCAATGATCTTCGTTTAGCAAAATATTTTGTCTGTTTATAGAAGGATACTCATATACTGTATATAAATTCTTTGTATGTACAAATTATCCTTTATTATGTAGGAATTAGCTACATTATTTCAGAGAAGATAAAGACACAAACCTTTCAGGTTTTGCAAAATTTGTGCTTCACCCTTTTTCTCTACACAGATATACAGTAGGAACAAATTACAAATGGAAATGTAACATCCTGAACAGGGCTTTATTTTTCATTTACTTATTAAGGAAAAGTAATTACATTGTAGTAATATCATCTGTGAATTGTAGTGAAGCTACAATATCATTTTCATAGCTGCACTGCATAAGATATTTTAACATCCGCAGAGCTCTTAGTCTCACTGTGACTATTAGACACAGGCTATTGACTACACTGGAATGTAGGTAAAGGTTTGTTCACTTACAGTTTCAGTGCTTAACTACTGCATACCCAGATCTGAATCCAAAATTGGTTTTGTCATGCTTAGTTTAATACTTCTGAATAATTTTGCCACTCCAAAGCAATCTCTATTCTCTTGCAGATCAGATTGCATGCATCTTCTGTTGAACTTTTCATTATACTACGGCTATAGTTCGGTGTATTTTACATTGAATTATTTTTTTATGTAAAAGTACTATACAATGCAATTCAAACTGAAAGGTGTTCAAATCACTATGGAGACAAAATGAGCTAATATGAATTAATATGACCACATTATCACCAGAAAGATGATATTCTCAATTACAGCTGATATTCCTGGATTTCATTTTACTGACATTATGTATTAAAAGATGCAATGAAAAGGAGTGTTTCAAAGTGCAGTTTAAGAATGTGGACAGTTGCAAAATCTCTACATGCTTTATCATTCACTGAATTCAGTAGGGGAGGTCAGCCTTGGCACTACCATTAAACTTCAAATACTTGATCCTCTTAATCCTTAATTACCAAAGGGATCTTCAGTACAGGGGTTAATTAAGCAATTAAGGATTAGTTCAATAATTAATATATTGGAAGGTTCAACGTCCTGATGGCATGGAATGGAAGTGTGAAATGTGACTACCCCTGATGTAAAGTCTGGTCTTTTATACAGTAGTTAATTTGTAGTTAATAGTCTGTTTGACAGGGAGGGAGTTTGGTCTTAACATTGTTAGGGTGGTCAAGTGCAGGGAACTCTGAAGAGGAACTTTTTGGGGCTAACACTGTGAAAAACATTTTAGTTATTTATAAAGAAAACTTCATTTGAGTAGTTGAAACTACTCAAACAGTGAACCTTAAAGACTTTAAACACTTTCTTGAACTCACTGTTTAAAGAGTGATATTACTTGCCACCTACACATTCCAAACTCAGGTGAGCCACATAATGTAGAAAAACAGTGACATTTTATGTTTGTGTTATAACACAATTACTTGGATTACTTGGATAAAAATAAGATTAATACTGAGATATCTGGTCGTTCAATGTCTGTCTGTTGTGGGCGAGAATGACTTTCACTGTATCAGAAGGTGGCTGTTTCGATATGCTGTTTGGTCATGGTCATCTCTTCAACTTTTTTGCTTTGTTTTTCCCACTATGATTAAGAAAAATCAGCAAAAAAAATCTAGCTGTTTTGTTGTGTTTTATTTGCATAAAGTTTTTTTTATCGCCTCTTTAAGTATTGTTAGTATCCCAAAGTCATCTTAATTGATGCTGTCGAATGGAATTGGATATACTGTTTAGGTATTTGTGATTTGTGAACAAATCTTTAAAATGACCCTGATAATGGGAGCTTTTGACATTCTGCCTTTGCTTGAACAGCTCTTCCATTTCCTTAGATTTGAAAGGGGCTAATCATTGACTATTCTTACCTATTCTTTTCTAGCTGTAAGCAGTCCTTCTGACAGTAAAACAGCAATAGATATTGTGTATGTTTTTAGAGTTTCCATGCACAGAAAGCCTCACACATTTAATCAATTAGTTAAAACTGAGCATGGTCATTTTAATCAAAATGGTTCTAGTATTTCCTTTAATACAGTCCAAATGGCTCCTTACAAGCCTCTGGGATATTTCTCTTAAGGTTTTCCCAAGTGATATGAACACTATTCTTCTGTTTTTAGTTAAGTGTCTAGAGATTCTCCCAAAAATCAAATGTCTTTTGCTGTGGGTTATTCTTGCTGTGTTTACAGTACCTACACTTTACTGTGCTTTCACCATTGTACAAGAGAAAAATATCTATAAAAGTAAATGTATACAATTATAAAGGAATGTAATTGCAATCCTTCTGATTTTTTCTCTATACTATTTATTCGAAAAATGTGCTAACATTTACATTTTTGTGTAGAAACATTAGAATAAGTCACTCTTATTTGAATCTATTTTCCTTTATTGATTTGTCTACATGACAGAATACTTTTTTTAATTCTAGATGTAATTAATTATTTTGTACATTAACCCATGCTCCAGTCATTGAATCCCCAGAAAGAATTAATTGCATAAAAGGCACAAAGTGACTTTTATTTTTAAACTTGCTGCATCAGATTTTAATTCTTGTGACTCAATCATCATACCCAACGTGCATACAACTTAGAGGATAGCAAGAGATCTGGGTATAGGAAGAGAGGTGTCTAAAACATGTAAAAGCCATAGAAGAAATTGGCATTTGTATATTCATAATTTTTAATATAGTGTTCTAAAGTTTGCAACATGAAAAATGATAAAATGTTAAAACCCCAGGAAGCCAATCATAGCTCTGTACAGATGACAACCAAAGCACAGTGCATATAGAATGTGAATTTGGTATTTACCATCCATCTGCTACAGACCATATGTGCCATTTTGAATTAACCATATTCCAAATGGCACCCTCACATGTAATGTTCTTTCACACACTTAATTCAAGAATACTACATGTGGTTTCTGATATAGTGTGACTAAGGGGCATACTTATATTGTTTCCTCTGTCACAGAAAGTCTGCTTCGCTTTTTAAAAATGACCTAGTGTTCAAAATTAAAAAGAAATATTGAAACTGCCTATAGGGCCTCTTAAATGAGGACTTGCACAGATTTATATAAAATCTTACAGCTTAAATGTGTTGTGTTAATACAAAGTTTCAAAAAGGTTGTAATCTTAGCATGGGTGGTTTATGTTTTATGAACTGGTTATTAAATGTAAATGTGTATTTAAATGCAGGGTACAAGATATTGAGTTAACAAATATGACTATATAGACTGGCTCTATAGTGCATAATGTATA